TAAAAATTCAAAACCTACAAATGGCACATGAAATCCAAAAATTACTAGCAGCCCCCTGTAAATTTATAATTTATAAAAAGCACCCTTAAAGTTTAAAAATTGCAAAAAATACCCTCAAGTGTTCAAAACTACAAAACAATCTTAGAATTTTCTAAACTTGCAAATGACACATGAAATCTAAAAAATTTGGTAGTCCCCTATAAATATCGAATTTGCAAATAACACCCTCAAACTTTTAAAAATTACAAAAAACACCCTCAAACTTTTAAAAATTGCAAAAAAACCTCAAACTTTCATGATTCCTCTTTCATTAATTAAAAATTGCAAAAAAACCTCAAACTTTCATGATTCCTCTTTCATTAATTAATTTGATGGTAATAATATAGAATTTGTTTGCTTTTGCTTTTTTTTTTGGACGGGCGTGAGATTGGGAAAAATAAAAATTCTTTTGTTGAGGATTTTTGTTGAGGGAGGTTTCTGTATGTTTGTTTGCGTGGAGAGAGGGGTCAAAGTGAGGACCGTAGATCTCATTGACCGTTGGGATTTTTATTTTATTTATTTGTTGTTTGGTATGAGTTACTACTTTAGTGGACGTCCACTAAGTTTCTTAGTCATTGATGATCACTTGATTGACATACATTGTGGATGATCCGCTCTGTTGAACTTGATCTACATATTCTAAAATCCCAACACACCAAATTTGGGGTAAACTCATCGTGGTTTGACCTTCCATCAAGCCATGTAAAAAGTTTTATTCATTCAAAACCGTTAAAATTGATACGAGTGGATGAATGGTCAAACCACGACGGGTTAACCCCAAATTTAGTATGTTGGGGTTCTAGAATATGTAGATCAAGTTCAACGGAACAGATCATCCATAATGTATGTCAATCAAGTGATCATCAATGACTAAGAAACTTAGTGGATGATCCACAATGGTTTAGTTCAAAGAAGATGTTATTGTGGGTTAATTTGCAGAATATGGATGTGTAAGTAAGGACACAATAAGGGCTTGGAATTTTATAGATGCCCGAGATACAAGGGACCTAATTATAAGGGTTGTAACTTTTTTAAATGGGTGGGTGATACCAAGAACATCACAAAAAGGCCGGAAGGCTGGAAAAAAATGATGAGGTTTTGAAAAAAAAATGCTGAAGGTGTAATTTTATATTTAAAATTTATAAGTATCATTGTAATGATATTGTTGCTTTGCGTTATAGTCAAATGATTGAGCAACATATCAGTGAATGACTGATGTATCCAAATATCATATTGTAAACAAATGTTCAAACTGGTTATGGTTATTTGTTTTGGTTCAGTTATTATGATTATATATGGTAGTAAAATTTTAATTTCTGTTTCACCTATGAAGCACATGTTATTGTAAGTTATTGTGAGTTTTTCAATGATTTTAATTTCTTTAATCTTTTGATAGACTCTGATTGAACATGATTCTTGCACTTTAACTCTTAATGACCTGAACCAACTTGAAGATCAATTAGAAGACTCTGATTGAACATGATTCTTGCACTTTAACTCTTAATGACCTGAACCAACTTGAAGATCAATTAGAGTACTCGCTTAACAAAGTTCGAACCCTTTAACTCTTAATGACCTGAACCAACTTGAAGATCAATTAGAGTACTCGCTTAACAAAGTTCGAACCATAAAGGTATATAAATCGATTCGATGGATCTGAACCTGAACTAGACATAATTATAGCTGTTTCTCTCTCTAACTCTACTTGTATCTTAACAGCATCAACTGATGCATCAACAACTAGATAATTTGCGTCGCAAGGTAAAAACTTGTAAACACCAGACAACCAAAAGGTTTTTTTTAAGATATTAGTCCCTAAAATTTTATATTTTCAAATTAGTCTTTTAAACCATTGAAACTGCAAGAGCACCTCTTGGAAGATCAAAACACGTATCTGTATCATGCAGTAAGTAGCAAACATTAGATTTTCTTTCATATTGGTCCACTCAAACATTATCACATATATCAGAGGTACTCTGTTGTAAGGCCCAGAAAATGACAGCATTATATCTATTTATTGTGTATTAGAAAGATGATATCACCAAAATGTTCCAAGTAACTAAAAGAGAAGCTTTTCCTCTCCTTATAGATCATAGAGTAACATACGAACATGATTACAAAAAGGCATATGTCACAAAGCTAAATACAACTATGACTTCTTCTATTAACTTTCAAGTTCACATATTTGGCATTCTCAAAATGCATAAACCATATAACTATGTATAAAGATTATTCTCCGACACATGATGTTCGCAACGTATTCTTGTACAACATCCTGAGAAAAGAGTGATCATTCCCCAAAGAGAATCAACATCTCCATACAAAAATCTCCAACATTCATTCAGATGACGATGACCCATATAACTTCAGCAATGCTTTAGACCCCAACTCTCCACCATTCATTCAGTTGATATGCTGCAGAATTTGTAAGTTGGAGGAAAGTTCAAACTGTGTTACTACAAACAGGGTAACGAGTAGCTAAATTTGTGATGTCCATCAACCTAAAAAAATTTAACAAATACAATATCAGATTTGAAACTATTGTATTACTACAATATAGTCAAAGGCAAAATGAAATTTCATCACCAATTCTTAAAAAGTGCATCTCCATAAACTTTGTTCTTTAGTCTTGTTTGTCAGTTTCGCTACATAAAATGTCAAAGATAAAATTAATATTACGATTTAAGTAATAAAATATTTTAACTTGTCAACGTAATTAAGCATACCTGTGCTTGTTAACTGTACAGCTAGTCCTATAATGTCCAAGTTGTCCACATCTACTACATGTACGCTTTTGCCTCTCTTTCTTTTCTTGTGCTTATTCTAAAGTTGATTTAATTCTTGTAGCATTGCGTGGACGACTTTTGGTTCTTGCTTACTTTTCCGGGTCACGAACTGTAATTTGTGGAATATGTTGGATTGTATGTGAAGTAGGTATCTATGGAAGATTCGAGTCAGGAATGTGGCTGCTACCAGCATATATTGCTTGACACCCTCTTCCTTCTTCTTCAACCCTCTCTATGAAACTTGTTAACAAAGAATCAAGCTCATGCATTATCTTATCTGACTCAAAGGCAAGCTCCAGTGCATTGTTGGTTTTTGCTTTCAAACCCTAAGATTTCAACAAATTTATTTTTTCTATATCGCCTGCAATGTTTTTGCCAAACATAACATTACTAACTCCAATGTTACGATGTCAAGCATCTATAGTCCAACAGTGTACAATATATACACTGGGCAATGAACAACATTGTCTGTTGAACATTAGAGTGTACAATATATGTTTGTATAAAATATCACTATTCTCAAACAAACCACAACTGTAACTATACTGTAATTCTCTACATTCATCATAAGTAACAAACCTCCACTTTTTATTATTTTTATCTAAGTCACCAACTCGCCATAAAACAGTCTTTTCTTCTTTGGTCACCTCTTGATGGCCAAGAACACCACACCCTTTGATCTCATTCTGAAATACATGAAACATAGTGCGGGTATAACTACTTCCAGCTTGTCTTTCAATTGGATTTCCAAGGTGAAACTGCGGTTTTGTATTAAGAGTTCTAAAATCTTCATGTACTTCACTCAATCGTCAATGTGTCACGGCCTTTTCATATTGAGTTACAAATTCTTTTAACTGTGTTTGTGAATTCATATATCCATCAAAGAATGAGTTGACGCTTTCACTCCTTTGAGTTGATCTCATTCTTGCAAAAAAAATATCATTTAAGAAGCATGACACCCAATGGTCTCGATACATGTACATAGTTTGCAGTCATCCATCTTCTTCTTCTATTATCTTAAACTTCTCCTTCATCTCGAGCCAATGCAAATTATAGTTCTTAATGTTACCACTATTACACCATAAGTCCCAATATTTTTGAATTTCTTCACCATAAACAGAATTCAAAGTATGTAAATGATCGGCAATATGTCGCTACAGATGCCAATAACAAGCCTTGTGTTTGGAAAGATTTTATGAATGGCATTACACATTGCTTGGTCTTGGTCTGTGATGATAGCACCTGGTTTAATTCCATGCATGCAGTTTAACCATTCCTGAAACAACCAAACAAATGTTTCTTCTTGTTCATCAACTAGCAATGCGCAACCAAATAAAGTAGATTGCCTATGATGATTCACCCCAGTAAATGGTGCAAATGGAAGACTAAAATTATTGGTTTTATAAGTCACATCAAACACAATAACATCATTAAACTTCAAATAAGTTGCTCTTGATTATCCATCTGCCCAAAAAACACTTCTCATTTGTCCAGTACAATCTACTTCCAATGCAAAATAAAAATCTGCATCATTAGCTGCCTTTCTTTGAAAATATTGGATAACAGATATACATTCATTACCAATATTATTGTGCCTTTGAGTTTTCATATAGTCAATGCACTGTTGTGGTGCCACTGATTTATCTTCTCTTCCACTTGTCGTGTTAATAACATGAGAAATAGTGGAAGGAGGAATATCTTCTTGCAAACATTGAATCATTTTTTTACACCTTTTACTTCTATGAAATTGTTGATGTGACCTGTGCATCTTTGCTTTATCTGGACTACTGAGCATGTGGTTTGTATGATCTTCAATAAAACCTATAACTTTCCATGTTTTATCCTCCATTAATTTTATTCTCATCATTGCTTTACAGCCAACTCTGGTCTCTCGCCGATGATTAATATTTTTCCCTATATCTCTCTTGTCTTTATTAGATCTTTAACCTTCTTTTTCACAAATAAATTTTCTATTCAACGCTTCTTTATCTTTCTGGGAGTAATTCACTGAGCTTTTTCTGATTCCAAATCCCATCATCAATGCATACGAGTTATAATAGTCATAGGCCTCCTCATGGCTATTAAACTTTATTCCTAAACACGGTTTTTCACCAATTTGCATTTGACTAGCATTTCTATATTTAAATGTATTATCATTATTAAACATCGTGCTACTTATCTCCTCCATTCTGAAATAAAGATAATTGTTCAAAAATATATAATGTTACTCAATGTTACTAATTGTTCAAAAATATATAAAGATAAATGTTACTCAATGTACCTTGAAAAGAGGAGAGCACGAGTAGGGAGGGCACGATTTCACCGGCTAGGGAGGCCGCATCTATAGTCCAACGGTGTACAATATATAAACTGGGCAATGAACAACGTTGTCTGTTGAACATTAGAGTGTACAATATATGTTTGCATAAAACACCACTATTCTCAAACATACCACAACTGCAACTATACTGTAATTCTCTACATTCATCATAAGTAACAAACCTCCACTTTTCATTGCTTTCATCTAAGTCACCAACTCGCCATAAAACAAACTTTTCTTCTTTAGTCACCTCTTGAAGGCCAAGAACACCACACCCTTTGATCTCATTCTGAAATACATGAAACATAGTGCGGGTATAACTACTTCCAGCTTGTCTTTCAATTGGATGCCCAAGGTGAAACTGCGGTTTTGTATTAAGAGTTCTAAAATCTTCATGTGCTTTACTCAATCGTCGATGTATCACAGCCGTTTCATATTGAGTTACAAATTCTTTTAACTGTGTTTGTGAATTCACATATCCATCAAAGAATGAGTTGATGCTTTCACTCCTTTGAGTTGATCTCATTCCTGCAAAAAAAATTCCTTTTAAGAAGCATGACACCCAATGGTCTCGATACATGTACATAGTTTGCAGCCATCCATCTTCTTCTTCTATTATCTTAAACTTCTCTTTCATCTCGAGCCAATGCAAATTAAAGTTCTCAATGTTACCACTATTACACCACAAGTCCCAATATTTTTGAAATTCTTCACCATAAACAGAATTCAAAGTATGCAAATGATCGGCAATATGTCGCTGTAGATGCCAATAACAATAACGATGCCTTGTGTTTGGAAAGACTTTATGAATGGCATTACACATTGCTCGGTCTTGGTCTGTGATGATAGCACCTGGTTCAATTCCATGCATGCAGTTTAACCATTCCTGAAATAACCAAACAAATGTTTCTTCTTGTTCATCAGCTAGCAATGCACAACCAAATAAAGTAGATTGTCTATGATGATTCACCCCAGTAAATGGTGCAAATGGAAGACTAAAATTATTGGTTTTATAAGTCACATCAAACACAATAACATCATTAAACTTCAAATAAGTTGCTCTTGATTATCCATCTGCCCAAAAAACACTTCTCATTTGTCCAGTACAATCTACTTCCAATGCAAAATAAAAATCTGCATCATTAGCTGCCTTTCTTTGAAAATATTGGATAACAGATATACATTCATTACCAATATTATTGTGCCTTTGAGTTTTCATATAGTCAATGCACTGTTGTGGTGCCACTGATTTATCTTCTCTTCCACTTGTCGTGTTAATAACATGAGAAATAGTGGAAGGAGGAATATCTTCTTGCAAACATTGAATCATTTTTTTACACCTTTTACTTCTATGAAATTGTTGATGTGACCTGTGCATCTTTGCTTTATCTGGACTACTGAGCATGTGGTTTGTATGATCTTCAATAAAACCTATAACTTTCCATGTTTTATCCTCCATTAATTTTATCTCATCATTGCTTTACAGCCAACTCTGGTCTCTCGCCGATGATTAATATTTTTCCCTATATCTCTCTTGTCTTTATTAGATCTTTAACCTTCTTTTTCACAAATAAATTTTCTATTCAACGCTTCTTTATCTTTCTGGGAGTAATTCACTGAGCTTTTTCTGATTCCAAATCCCATCATCAATGCATACGAGTTATAATAGTCATAGGCCTCCTCATGGCTATTAAACTTTATTCCTAAACACGGTTTTTCACCAATTTGCATTTGACTAGCATTTCTATATTTAAATGTATTATCATTATTAAACATCGTGCTACTTATCTCCTCCATTCTGAAATAAAGATAATTGTTCAAAAATATATAATGTTACTCAATGTTACTAATTGTTCAAAAATATATAAAGATAAATGTTACTCAATGTACCTTGAAAAGAGGAGAGCACGAGTAGGAAGGGCACGATTTCACCGGCTAGGGAGGCCGCGGGAGATGGGGGAGCGCCCGAGCAGAGATCCGTTGGGTCGGAGCTAGCGCAGAAATTGTGAATCTGGTTCCGAACAGAGGTGGGGGAGCGCCTGGAGATGTTTAATTATGGTTAATAACTCCCGATGGATGATACAGGTTTTAACCCGCAAAAGCATCAGTTAAATTTTAGCTATTATCCCTAAAATGAATTAAAAAAAATTAAATAAACAAAATTGAGAAACCCCACTGGTCAATTCTTGTTATCGATGATCAGATGTTTCACTTCAGAGGGAGGGAGATAAAACCACGACCGCATGTTCCAATTTGTCGAATGCGCCGGCTAGGGAGGCCGCGAGAGATGGGGGAGCGCCCGAGCAGAGGTGGGGGAGCACCTGGAGAAAAAAATGGAAAGCGCAGAGGGGAAGAAATGAGGAGGAGGAGCTGGTGGGGAAGAAATGTGGAGGGGAAGCGCCTGGAGAAAGAAAAAATGAGGAAGATAAAATGGAGAAGCGCCTGGAGGAGGAGGAGCGCTAGAGAAACAACAATGAGAAGAAATGAGGAGGCCCGTGACCTTGGGAAAGAAGATGGAAATTTGCAAAAAAAACCTAGATCCGCAATTCCCTCATGCCGCTATTTCTCTTCCAATCAGCCTGCACCACATGAACTTGAGCGCAGGAAATTTCCTGCACCACATCAAAATGGGTATGCTTGATACCAAGCACAAAAAGTGGTGTTTGGTAGTGAGGTGCTACAATCTCATCCACTCATTCAAATAGTTACATATCCTCATGCACTACTCAACCCATGTGAATGTGGTCCCTTATTTGAATAAGTGGAGGGAATTGTGCCACCTCACTACCAAACACAAAATTTATACTTGGTACCAAAACATACCCATATTTTCTCTCTCTCTCTTCTCTCTCTCTCTATATATATATATATATATATATATATATATATATATATATATATATATAAATATATATATATATATATATATATATATATATATATATATACTCCAATAATGGAAAACCTATGTGATCTGACCCCTCTGTATTTTTGCGCATTGTGTTTAACCTCAATACCATATTGTTATTTGTGCCAATGGCCCAAAAATCCTATCATGTGAGCAGAGAGAAAAAAAGCACATTTTGTACAAACCCGTCCCTCATAAGTGACCAGACTTGTAATCCAGCCGATCCCCCACTCAAATACTTTTCTTAGGCCCCTCTTGTTGGATTTATACTAATAAAATCTATTTGTGGCACATATGATTAATCAATGTGTATTGCTATCTTTATGGATAACCCACTAAAGTGATCAATTAAGTTGGGTTAATGGGTATGTTAAATATAATCATGGGGTTATATGTGGCAGATACGCAGGTTGTAATTATAATTTATTGAGGGGCTAAATATAAAGGTACAACATCTATAAATAAGGGGTTATGGTCCCTAACTAGGGTTACATTCTCTAATTCTCTACACCCGCCATCTAGCTAGAGAAATTCGGTTTTAGAGAAACCCTAAGGTTAGAAGATCAAAACCCATCTCAAGATCAAGCAATGGATTCAGGTATAAGCTTCCGCTCTTTTAGATTCTTGTTTAATCTCTTTGAATTAATCATGGCTATATGGTTTTAGATCTCAAGTTTTGATTTAGATCTAACACCTCTCTCTTCTACTAATCAGAAACGACCAAAAATTCCCAAACTCCTTTTCCCTCATCTCGAATCTTAACTTAGGGTTAGGGTTTTCACCATGAATATGTTGTCAAAGGAAGCATCAGTTCACTATTTCTAAGTCGTTCATTGCGGTGGTCGGCAGGAGCAAGTTGTTAGCGGCCGTGAAAGACGGTCAAAACAAAATAATGAAGCCAAATCATCTTCGTCAGTCACCCGACGTGAGCGAAGTGGTGATCACATGACTTCCTCGAGTGATGATGGTCATGCATCTTCTAGTGACGCTGAATACCATGAATCATCTGGGAATGGAAGCACGGATGAAACGTCAAAGGCTCTTTTGGTTATGAAGGAGTGAAGTACGAGATCGAGGCAATAAAAGAAGACCAACAGGGGATGGTTCCAACCCCAGAAAGAAGAAGTGCTGGGTTTTTTTAATTAAAGAAGTTAACTTGAGTTCTTTCAAATACATAATATGTTATTTAAATTGAAGTTCATATTATCTAAACTGGTTTTCATGTTATCTAAACTGAGGTTCATATTAATTCTAATCATATACATGAGAATTAACCTGAGTTTCATGTTATTTAAAATGAGTTTCATGATAACTTGTTATAGTCATTTTAGTGCTAAAAAGTAATCTCCAATCAAGGGTAGACAAGTATCACACATTATGCGTAATCTAGCCATCACTTCAAAATAACCCAATACCCAGCTCGGATGACTTGACACGCCGACATCTCACAAGGACGCTCAAATGGCGTTACATGTCGACCCTGGCTGGGTCGACTCCCTAATCGACCTACCCAACCATCCATTCGGCCGACATCTTGCGAAGGCAAGGACACTTAAATGGCGTTACATGTCGACCTCTGGCTGGGTCGACTCTCTGATCGACCTACCCGATCGTCCATTCGGCCGACATCTTGTGAAGGCAACTCAAAGATACTTCTCGACCACTAGACGAGTAGAAAAGCAACAAATACCTCGAGCCTCGTGCCCCTCCTGTACATTGGCAACCAATCACATCATAATAAATGCCATTAAATGCATTATGGGCTTCATCATTCCTCTGCCCCCTCTTTATGACACATCGGACCACGTCGGTACTATACACCCCCAATCGCTTCACATTAAATACCAAAGTGACTTCTCCTCCACTCGTTGACTGACACTTGTAAAGCAAAGGCTGACGACGCCCTCATATACTCGGATAAAATTACTCTTTTACCCTTCTACCACCACTATAAATAGGGACACTATCTTTAATAATAACGTAAGATCTTTACATCTACCCATTGTGCTTAAGAACTACGACAATTCATTTTACTTATACACTCAAGCAAATCATTAACTTGATCGTCAGAGGAACAACCGGGGAATCCAACCGGGCCCACTTACGATTTGCAACTTGTGCAGGGAAGAACTGCCTACTCTAGAGCTGGACATTCGAAGGGTTAGAGGACATCCATCAACTTAATCACTTCTTTAATCTGTCTATTTGATATCAGCCATCAACATAACTAAATTATGTTTCATGTTAATTCTAATCGTATACATGAGAATTACTTGAGTTTAATGAAATACATGTTAACTAAACAAAGTGTTATGTTAGTTAAATTGTGCTTCAAGGGAAATCATCTAAGTCTAATTTCAGTTCCTGTTGAGTCTAATTTCAGTTCCTATTAAGTCTCATTTAATTTCTATAAAGTCTAATTTAATTATTGTTTAGTCTAATTTAAACCTTGTTAAGTCTAATTTTTTTCCTATTAAGTCTAATTTAACTTATTTTAAGTATAATTTCCTATTAAGTCCAATTTGATTCATGTTAAGTCTAATTTTAGTTCATGTTAAGTCTAATTTATTTCTTATTAAGTCTAAATAAACTTATTTTAAGTCTAATTTTATGTTAAGTCTAATTTGATTCATGTTAAATCTAATTTCAGCTTCTGTTAAGTCTAATATCAGTTCCTGTTAAGTCTAATTCAACTTGTACATTTAAATTTATTTTCAAAAAAAAATTGATTTGTAGAAATTAGGCCTACTGCCAGTATTGGGGCATGTTATGAATTTCTGAAACGTCTTGCCCTAAAGATATGTCAATGGCATAGGGATACATATGGTGGATCGATATTTGAGCATTACATTCTATTTGGCGCTCCTGTACTTGATCATCCTACACTTGATCTGGTGTTGAGTTATTATCATGTTAATAATAAAGCATTTTCTATCCCTAATGCTAATACTGGAAAAGAAATTGTTAATTTTGACTTGGATTGAGTCCATAATCATAGAGTATAGACCACAAACCTGTAACGAGTTGCAGTTAAATATAGGAAATTAGACTTAACACGTAAGAGATTACAGTTAACATACAACAAATTACACTTCATATACAGTAAATTAAACTTAACATATTATTCGTTAGATTTAGCATATAAGAAAACAGACTTAACATGTAATGTGTTGCAGTTAACATACAATAAATTATACTTCACACATAGGAAATTAGACTTAACATATAATATGTTAGACTTAGCATACAAGAAAATAGACTTAACATATAACATGTTACAGTTAACATACAACAAAATAGACTTCACATACAAGCCCTTAGACTTAATTTCCAACTAATTAGACTTAACATCATAAATATTAAACCAAACATCAGAAATAAGTATAAAAAATAGCCTTTCATAGAGTATTTATTACAAATCTTGTAAGAACCACTTCAAATTAAGGTTATTTTCCTGATTGCATATGCAATACGCTAGTGGAAATATCCCTTGATTTCCTTCCTACAACGCTGAGGAATATACCTTTGAATCGATCTTTCATGAATGTCCT